AATTAGATTCAAAATCAATGTTTCCTTTAACCATGTCACGTCTTTATTAAATAATTGACGTATTTTATATTAATGATCAAGTTTATTTAATCAATGCATATTCGGTCATGAAACTAAGATGAAATATATGATATAAAATTGAAATGGTTGAAGGCACGTACGTGTTTGATGCATAAATTATTGTTTATTGGGAAGAATGCCTAGTTGAAAATTTGTATTCATTTTCTAACTTTTCTTTTTATAATACCAAATATTCTATGAGCTTTGTAGTGCCTTGCAACAAATTGGAAGATTTTGATCGTTCTCTAAAATTTTGGCTCAATTTTATTCTCTCTAAAATAATTATTTTCAAACCTATTCTATAAAGAAATGAAACTTGGACCAAAAAAATATATATATTCCTTTTCAAATAAATCATTCTCTTTAAATAAATCCTTCTCTATAATATTCGTTTTTCTTCATCTTATAATCTAATAGAAAATAATTAGCATGTCCTAAAGAACTATACTTTAAAAAAACAACATCATCACATCTATAAAAATCAATACTAAAAATCGGATCTTGATAATCGCATAAAAGATAAAACCTATACTTCAAAAAAACTTGGTAGGGGTGGGACTCATTTCCTTCTCATTTTAGAGTGGAATTTTTAGTGCGTTTCCTACATTGAATAAGCTAATATCGAGTGTTTTATCACGAGAATTTGATCTAATGTGCAAGAAGCTTTGTCAAAATTGATTTTCTTGGCGTTGCCTTGTTCATTAGACGAGAGTTACTTAAAACTTTATTGAAAGTTTGATTCAAGAGTAATTGATTTTGGCACGTTGCCCGTTATAGCTTTTAAACATTGAATCTCAAATTCACTCAATTTGTAGTAGTTAAATTATCGATCATCTATAAATCCGTCAATGCCAAATGTCTTTCATAATGTATCTCTATAGTCGAACCTATACAAACATTATGAAAATACGCCATACAAATTTATTGCCTACAATATAGAAATTTGTCAAGGTAATTGTGAAAAAGCAATAATTTCTTTAAGCATTTTCGATAAATTTTTCGTCCGCCCTCATAAATGCTTTTTGATCCTAGGAAAAATTAGGGGATGTTCTCTTTGCCGTTTTCATCCCGTTTCATGTTTTCGATTTTTCAAAATAGTGAAAACACGTTTACTTCAAAAATGAGTTTAAAATTTACGAAGAAAGCCAAAAAGTCAAAATGTCATTTTGGGTGTTTTCAGTTAAAATCAAGCAAAAATTTTCAAAATGTGTTTTGACTGTTTTCAGTTGCACCACCAACAAAAACCACCGCCATTGCCGCCTGCATACACCACCTGCACCAGACCGCCGCTGCACCGCTGCACCCAAAACCACCACACACAACATGTTTTCAAGTGGTTTTTGTTGGTAGCCACCCAACACCACACAATCGACCCAAACGCTGGCGCATCCAACCAACAGCAGAGAGGAAGGGAAGAAGAGAGAGAGAGACGACGCAGCCACACCCAACAACGGAAAAAGCCGGTCTTCGACACCAGCGACCTTGAGAGAGAGAGAGAGAGAGAGACGAGAAGAAGGGAAGAAACATGAAGAAGAGAGACCGACGAAAAGAAGAGAACACATTTTCCAATTTTGTGTTTTTTAAAATAATTCTTCAAAATGACAAAAAAAAACACATTTTCAACAATTTCAAAATGGACTCTCAAAATACAAAACTCAAAATGAATTCAAAACTTAAAACTGAAATACGAAGAGAACAACCCTTAGTAATCCCATTAATCTTAATTTTTATGAAGAGAATAGCCCTTAGTAATTCCATTAATCTTAATTCTCAAACCCAACAATTATCTATGTTACTGGATCTCCACCAGAAACCCAACTCTAACTTCCAATCTTTACATCAAATCAGAAGTAAACATTTAAATAATAATTTTGAATTTTAGCCCACGTTTGAGCTCATTATTTAAATGCCACTTTTTTTCGTTTCAGATTCATTTTCAATTGTATGTTTTCTCAAATAAATAATTTTACAAGTAATTCCAAACTTTTTCTACTTTTTAATCACGTATTCTTCAGAAAAATTACGTCTTTACAAAATTCATTCTCGAAGAGGGCTAAAACAAGGGGCTTAAACTCTTCCACACGAGTTTAGGTTTAAAAATTTAACCTAATTGGGGTTTATCAAGGTAATTGTGTTAATTCAAGTCAAAACCGTACTAGTAATTATTACCTCAATATACTAGTGGCATAGTGATTAAATGTTGAACCAACAGGGCTAAAAAATAGGGATTTGCATCCAGATACACTTGACAACAAAACATTGGGAGATGGAAAAATTTAACACAACAAGCTACGAGTCCGGATCCGCCACGTGTGTTTGTTTTTAAACCTTGTCTAATTTCCATGTTTGAGTAGCTTTATTGTTAAATGTTTCTTGAACAAAAATCAAGAAGATTAGTCATAGTTTCATATATCATTATTGAAATTTAATTAAAGTCCACCTTCGCCAAACTCCTAAGCATATCTACTTATTAAAGTCCACCTTCGCCAAACTCCTAAGCATAGTCATTCATCTACTTTTCCACCATCATAAATTTTTTGCCGCAAAGTCAACATGGGCCCATCATTTTCTTTATTATGGTCAAAAATTTCCTAATATTACCTAATTAAAATTAATTCTTCTTCTTCTTTTTTTATTTTTTTTATTTTTTATAAATCCTAAATACTATCTTTGAGAGAGACAAAAATGTCAATAAATATAGATTCAGGAAAATTGCATCATTAGCCATCAACATCTAAAAAGAGGAAATGTTGGTTATTCACCTTTTATCACAATCGCACACAAAGTTTGTAACGAAGGTAACTGTTCCATTTTTTTTTGTACAACTATAACACGATCTTGAATATGGATTGTATATTACACAACCCCGCTCCACCCTTGGTTGCCCCACCCTCCCCAATTATTATTAAAATTTTCTTTTATGTTTTACCATTTAAATTGTATTTAAAAATCAATTATATAAAATCAAATATGTAAATTGAACGGTAAATAAGGATTTTTTTTTGGTAATCGTTGTCCTATCCTCACTATCGAAAATTCTCGATGAGGGTGGGTATGGGGTGGGCTACCCGTGCTCCTGATCATACCCTTCGTCCCATTGCAATCACAAATCATCAAAGTCTCACTTCAAATTTTTGATTGAATTGAAATTATGAAGCAAAATTCTAATTTCATGTGTAATTGTTGTCCTACCCTCATTACCGAAAATTCTCGATGATGGTGGGTATGGGGTTGGCTGTCGAGCTCCTAATCGCATCTTTCGTCCCATTACCATGACAAATCCTCAAAATTTCACTTCAAAATGTTGATACAACTGAAATTATGAAGCAAAATATAATATACATATGTAATTTTCTCGCTAAGAAGTGCAAATCACAAATGCACGAGTCGCGCTCAAATTAATCTTTTTGAGTTTGAGTTGTAGATTTCTCGAGGAATATTTACTTTCGATTACACAATTTTAATCAATTTAATGTTAACAATAAAAACAAACATACAATAAACTTTGATTTTGGAAAATACGGAAAATTAACTAAAAATCAACAAAATAAGAAAAACATAAACACTTGAGAATTTTGGAGGGAAAACGTTGTAGAGATTCATGGTTTTGCTTAACCGTCGCCTAATTAATTTTTTCATAAGCCAATTAATATATTATTTGTTTACAATGTTAGACCCAGTTTTTCAATTTTAGTTAATTACTTTTCTCGAGCGAAATTAATCATAAATGATTGGTTTAACATACTATATCTTTATGTCCATTAAAACCAAACAATCGCATTAAATCTTTATGAAAATAGTACAATTGGTCACATAAGGTTAGTAGTACATCTCTATCCCCTATACAAACATAAAGTTTATACTATTTAGGGTGTGTTTGATGGATATTATTTTGGAAGAATGTATTTTGGAATAGTAGATTGATGGAAAATGTGTGGTGGAAAAAGAAGGAAAAGTTATTGATGTGATAGAAAATATTATTTTAATGAAAAATGTGTGGTTGAAAATGAGTAGAAGAATGAGAATGAAAATTTTAATGGGAACCAAATAGGGGCTTAGTCTAAAATGCACAATATTCTCTCGAATGATGTACAAATCACTGAATGCAATCATTCATTGGCCACACGAATAAAAATGCATGAAATACAATAGTAAATATATATGAAAATAAGCATTTAAATATTAAAAATCAAATACTAAAATTAATCCAAGCTAAGTTAAACTTCAACCATAAATTTCAACAATAAAACTTAGCCCATATTAAATATATGATAAAAAAAGAGAATATTTTATATAATATATTACAAATAGAAGATAATAATGAAGAAAATACAAGAGATAAATAAAATCCTCTTTGGATTTGGATTATTGATGGCTTGATTTGATTTTCTTCAACTATTTTTCAAAATGTATTCTCCTTGTGCTTTTGCCAACCCAAAAATTACAAGTAAAATCAAAAGAAAATGAAAAGAAAAGAAAAATGAAAAGAAAAAGTGAAGAAGAAGAAGAATGGTAGAAGCTCTAATCTGACGCCCTTTTCAAGGTTTTAAAACGAAGACAAATTTGCAGTCAAGTCCTCAAGTTTTGACAAGTGACAAAAAGATCCTCGGGATACCTTTTTTCAATGAATTCAGTGCTTGGCAAGTGACAAAAAGTCATCGGGTTACCTTTTTTCAATTAAATTCGGCGCCTAGACGCCACTTCTCTGCCCAAAACCAAGAAAATTGTTTCATTTCTTTCTTTCTTTTTTGCACGCAATTCCTCTAACAATTTGCACTCAAGGTTCCTAAACTTTGATTTTGTACAATGTGATCCTCAAAAATTGACTTTCATATCAATCGTGCCTTCCAAAAATTGCAACACGGGTCCTTGAACTTTCTGACTTGTTAACTTTGGTCCCCAATTCACAAATTTGCCCGATTTTGGGCATTTTCTCCTTTTTTTTCATTGTTTTATTTTCTTGAGTGATTTTTACCTATAAAAGCAATATTTTCATAATTGTGAGTAGAAATATGCTCATTTTTATCAATAATAAGCATATTTAAATATTAAATAAATGTGTAAAAATATACTTATCATAATCGTTGTCCTACCCTCACTATCGAAAATTCTCAACGAGGGTGGGTATTGGGTGGACCACTTGAGCCTTGATCCTACGCTTCGTCCAATCGCAATCACAAATCCTCAAAGTTTCGCTGTAATTTTTTTGACACGACTGGAATTATGAAACAATATCTAACTTCTTATGCAAATTTTACTACGATAGAAATTAGATTTGTGAAATTATTTGAATCATTTGTATCAACGGAGAGTAATCATGTAATTACTCGTTAAATTTTAAAGGTTAAAACTTAGCTCTTGTTTAGCTCCCATTAAATTAAAATTCATTTCTATCTCTCTTCTTATCAACCACACATTTTTCATTAAAATAATATTAAACGTAAACTTAAAAATCCCTTTTTTTTAATTACATATTTTTGAAAAAATTACTATTCTCCTCCTTAAAAGGTGAAATAATGGGAGTCCCAAGGGCTTAGAACTGGCCACGGCCCACAGGTCAAAATTGACAATATAAAATTGGGTAAATAATGGATTTTATTAGTCATGAATAAAAAAAAAATACTTAGCCTAGACTAAAAATCAGATTTTTAATAAATTTTAATAAAAATTAATTAAATGTGTAGTTGAAAAATTGTGGATGTTAGATAAAATGAATTATTTACTTTTACTTTGACTTAAAACTAAAATCAGATTTTAATTTGCACATGTTAGCTTAAACTAATCTTCACTCCATCTACCTGCAAGAACAAATAGGTGCAATCTCCCCAAAACCAAATCCCCACCTATTACCCAACTCCACAGTTCATACAATACCCACCCCTCAAATTGTGAATGCACCTGTTGTTCGGCTTGAAATTACTCTCTTAATTCGACCGTTTTGGAAAAAGAATTCAACTTTCTGTAATCCCAAATTTTTTTCTTGTTTATTATTATTATTATTATTTTTATTTTTTGCATTTTGATGAAATGAAGAAGCTAAAGAACTATTATATGCATTTGAGGCACCCGCAAACATTGGAGAGAAAATGGATCTTCCCATTAGCCATTGGCTCAATAGTTTCTTTGTTTCTTTTGTTTTTGACCACCTTAACCTCGCCGGATGGGATGCCGCTGCTGCCACTTCAACGGTACTACTCCTCCGCCGCCGCCACGTCAATTTTCGTTGAGTCGAAACTCCGCGCTGTTCCGATTTCAACCCTGCCGCCGCCGCCGATACTGGCTTATTTGATATCCGGCTCAGCAGGAGATGGCGGAATGCTCCGACGCACCCTCCAGGCGCTTTACCATCCCCACAATCAGTATGTGGTTCACCTAGATGCAGAGTCCTCCGCTGAAGAGCGCCTCGATCTGCACAATTACGTGAAAACCCACCCCATATTTGTGAAATTCAAGAATGTTCGGATGATTGCCAAGGCTAATTTGGTAACCTACCGCGGGCCCACGATGGTAGCCAATACACTGCATGCGGCTGCCATTTTGCTGAAGGAAGGTGGAGATTGGGATTGGTTTATTAATCTCAGCGCCTCTGATTACCCACTGATCACTCAAGATGGTAATTATTAATGCTAAGGTGTTTTATACTATTTGCTTATATTTTCCGTTGGAAGAAAAAAAAAGATTGGATTTTTGGGTTATTTTGATATTTTATTGAAGTGATTTTTTGTTAATTTGCTTAATGATTTGTGGGTTCTGATTGATCATTAGATCTGCTGCATACATTTTCGCACTTGCCCAGAGATCTTAATTTTATCGATCATACAAGTAACATTGGCTGGAAAGAGTAAGTAATTTTTTCTAGGATATTCATTTTTTTTTAACCTTGCCTTGTTGATTTATATTTGGGGTTAAGGATTTATAGCTCTAATCAATGGCGTGGTATTACATCGAACTCTCGTAGGTTTCAGAGAGCGAAGCCTGTCATTGTTGATCCAGGTTTGTATATGACAAAGAAATCTGATGTGTTCTGGATTACGCAACGAAGAAGTGTGCCGACAGCATTTAAACTCTTTACTGGTACAATTTGGCTTTTATTATTGCGTTTTCTTTGATATTATGTGTCCTGTTTTTTCTGCATGGCTTATTTGATGAGAATGAGTTACAAAAACAAGTTTTTGGAGTCTTTGCCTTCCTGTCATACCATGTATCTTCACCTTTTTTTTCACGAAAATGTGCAGTGTTTTGTTAATGGGGTTGGGGCCGTTTAAAATTTTTGCACAATAAATGTTGATTCCTTGGTGTCTAATTGATCATATCTTTTTTTCTGAGTAAAATGCTTAAACTGACTTCAGTACGTGATTGTGGTAGAAGGTTTGTACTTGCTGAATTTTTTTATCTGGCGAGTGGGATCTGCAAGTAATATCTTGTTGAATGGTTCACAAATGTAATTTATGTGTTATATATTACTTTCTCAAGATGTAGGGTGCTAATGAAAATTCTAGAACGCTGGAGTTAAAAAGCATTCTGGGCACTGGAACGACCTCAATGGAAAACTATGAAATTTAAATGAAGTTTCCACTTTGATCATCTCTCTGTATTGGTTCATCTCTGAGAAAATTTGAACCCTTTTCTCTATTAAAAAGGATTATTTACGCCTTCTAATTAAAATATTCAGTTTTTCATTATTGCATCTTGTCCCATTATAGGTTAGAGTAATTCTATTTAGTAGCATTGATATTACAACATCTGGGTGACACTAAGTGTTATTAAATAAAATGTACGATTAAATGAATCACATGATATCACTTTTAATCGAACTATCACGTAATTCCACATAGACTGGTGTTACAGCACTCAAGATGTAGGGTGCTAATGAAAATTCTAGAACGCTGGAGTTAAAAAGCATTCTGGGCACTAGAACGACCTCAATGGAAAACTATGAAATTTAAATAAAGTTTCCACTTTGATCATCTCTCTGTATTGGTTCATCTCTGAGAAAATTTGAACCCTTTTCTCTATTAAAAAGGATTATTTATGCCTTCTAATTAAAATATTCAGTTTTTCATTATTGCACCTTGTCCCATTATATTTAGTAGCATTGATATTACAACATCTGGGTGGCACTAAGTGTTATTAAATGAAATGCACGATTAAATGAATCACATGATATCACTTTTAATCGAACTATCACGTAATTCCACATAGACTGGTGTTACAGCACCACTGATATTAGATATCATTATTCTATAGGTTAAAGCTAACAGTTGAAGCTCATCTTATGACGATATCTGCAAAATACTCTTTATACAAGTGATGTTGATTTTCCATTGCAATAGTGAAACTGAGGTTCCTGATTTGTGCCAATGATTTATCCATTGGTTCAACTTGAAATTGGTTGTGTGTTAAACCTTACTTGATAGCTTTCATGATTTGGGTAATTTTCGTTGATATAAAACACTCGTGATACCCATTAAGAATGACTTTGAGCCATAAAGATATACTCGTTTAGAAACTATACTTCTGCTGCCCAATAACCCAATACTAAAAAATTTGCCAAATATTATTTTGCTTACTGATGTGTCTGAATTTTCTGGTAGAGATCTAGTTGTCATTAAGCGAATAAACAGGCGTTGTTACAAGATGACTTGTGATCACGAAGCTCGGTACCATCAACAAAGTTTGGACATCTCTTGTAAAAACTGAGAAGTTGGTCTTAAGAACCCCTTCTACCGAAGATGTGTCATGTAAGGAAATGATTAATAATTTAGAACCTAAAAGATGAAGGGGATAGCTGGGAAGATAATTTTCTTGGGCAGTAATCTCGTGTTGAGTGATATCGACTTCGAATAGGCTTCTTTGTGAAGATAATATATTTCAATTTTAAAACCCACTGGAACTTGTGGATATCTCATTTCTGTATTTTTCATGGTAGAAAGATTAGAATAAAGTCCATCAAGATTTGTCCTGCAAATTTTGATGTCTATTTTGTAAGTTATGAGAATTCTGACAGAGAAGATATTTATAATGAATGAAAATTTTGTATGTCTCAAATATCAGACTCATAGCATGCTTACTCATTTTATTCAACTCTTTCTTTAAGGATCTGCTTGGATGGCACTCTCTCGACCTTTCATTGACTACTGTATATGGGGATGGGACAACTTACCCCGAACTGTCCTGATGTACTATGCAAACTTTATTTCTTCTCCAGAAGGCTATTTCCATACTGTAATCTGTAATGCTCCGGAGTTTCGGAATACCACTGTGAACAGTGATCTACACTTCATATCCTGGGACAATCCGCCCAAGCAGCATCCTCATTTTCTTGACGTTGATGACATGCAAAGGATGGTTGACAGTAATGCTCCGTTTGCAAGAAAGTTTCACCGTGATGACCCAGTGCTCGAAAGAATTGATTCTGAACTCTTGTTTCGGGGCAAAGACATGCTTGTTCCCGGTGGATGGTGCACAGGTAACAGGGAAAATGGAACCGATCCATGTTCTACTGTGGGCAATATCACAATCCTCAGGCCAACTGCAGGTGCAAACAGACTAGAAAATCTGATTGGCTATCTTTTATCAAACGACAATTTCCGACCAAGACAGTGCAAATAGCGAAACCTGTTTTAGGAGACCAATTATTTATGATAGCGGCAAAGACTTGATGAAAGACCAGATATTCATTTGCTTTTCAGTTAGGAGAAAAGACTGCTCAGGGCTTGCTCGATCCCTCTGTGTTCCAGAGTTTCTGCTCAAATTTGTATTTGGTGGGAAGAGATTACAGAATGCAGGACCATTTGAGCGCTTCACCCTGGTATACGTTGTTATGATCTCGACAGTAGACCTATAACCATTTTTCCTTGTAATTATCCAGTCCTTACTATTTCTGGTCGAGTAGTACTTCTCTGAGGCGAATTTTGGGAAAATGAACACAGGCGAGTTTTTGTCATTACTTTGTGTATGAAATTGTCCTGGAATTTCTTTCTTTTAATTCATTAATGCAAGACGAGTGATTCAGAGATGTTACCGTTTCACCATCCCCCTCCACCTCCACCTCCACCTCCACCTCGGCCCCTTTTCAAGTTGTGAAATTCAGTGATGATCCACTTTTTTAACTGTTTTCTGCATGACTATAAAGCTCAAGGTCTTGGTTGCTTTATAGTTCAATTTCAAATTCAAAATAAATAAATGAACAAACCATCCTCCATAGCTTAGAATGTAATACAAGTTTGATATGATGTGCTTGCTTTTGGAGAATTAGCGATCTTTGCTAACACACTTTAGAAAGAAACCTCGTAAGCAAAGTATGTGTGCAACATATACTGTCTTTTTTAGTCTAATGAATTCAAAATAAGTGTAATAAAGAAAGTATGAACAAAGTCAATCATGGATTTACCGAAGAAAAAATGACTTAAAATGATTAAAAAGTGATCGTGGCTCGATTTCTCAATAATCTTTATATTTATTCATACAAAATTAAGAGTTACTTCCTAATGTGTAAGAATAAGAGCCTGTTTGACAGGGTATCTGATTTTGTTTTTATTTTTCGTGGAAGGGTTTCATGAAGAAATTACATTAGATTGGTTTCTTTTAAAAACTTTTTAGTCATACAATACTTTCAAAAAATTGTTGAAACACGTTCAAAAATAGTTTCATACTCTCAAAAACAACTTTTTATTTTTCGAAAATCTTGCAAAACGGTCCCTAATCACACCTAAATAGATAAAGACCAAGAAATAAGAACATTTTTTATTCATCATTGAATAAAATTCCACAAACTATTGATTCTATCCCCCAAATCATATATGAATACAACATAAGAATCGACATCTAATTCTTTCAACTCTCTCTTGATTTGAGACAGCCTCTTCTTTGTAATCAAGCCAGGGCAAAATTTCAAGCCTCTCTGTAAGCTTAGGCTACAAACTTCTCTCAAAAATCCTAGTAGCAGAATGGAATCAGTCTATTGGGCTGACTTCTATGCCAACACGAGTAGTTTAACTCATCAGTACAATTCTCGGTGTGCTCGATTCGGATTGAGAGGAAGGTAAGTCGTGATCTACCTTCGATCCCCATCCAGAGATTAGCCGCCCAATTGAGACGCCAGCCAGGTTGATCAGGTAATGGCTCCGGATTCCACCACGCTACCCCTATACTACTTGTCTTTGTCAAGCACTGACACATGGAAACACAGGGCACAGCCCAATCGAACATCAATCNATTCGGATTGAGAGGAAGGTAAGTCGTGATCTACCTTCGATCCCCATCCAGAGATTAGCCGCCCAATTGAGACGCCAGCCAGGTTGATCAGGTAATGGCTCCGGATTCCACCACGCTACCACGAAGGAGATGGGAAGCTACCACTTCTAGAATGGAAGCTAGTAGACATACGTTCACTGCCCCATTTATCCGCGCAGAAAGTTATGACATAGTCATCCGAATCACAATTAATCAAAGGAGGTGGGGTATCAAAGGCATAACTAAAATAAGAGGGACAAGCATCCTTTAACAATTTCGAATACAAAATAGGTTTGCACTTCTCTGGGCTCCCATATTCATTCCTGCAACAGAATGAATCAAGATTATAAGCCAAACAAGCACTTTTGCAAGCCATAACTTCCCCTTCACCATTCACAACTTGGAGCTCAACTGGACACATGCTCTTCAAACTCTTCGAGCACCCTCCGATGTGGCATTTTCTTGATCCCGTCTTTGTATCAATGGAAACCGGGAGATTATAGCCATCGACAAGACTAACATCGTAGAAACTTGGCTTGCTCTTATCGACCTATGTGATAAGATAAAATTTAATAAAATAAACTTTTCACATTTCTAATAATGTAAACTTCTAAATGATATCATTTATGACATCAGGATGAAAAAAAAAATTGTATTATTGGTTCCCAACCTATAGCTTGAGTAGCAAGTTGGATTTTAACATTTTATTATAGTTGCACAGGTAGTCTTCAACAAAAACTGTCCAATTTTATGAACCTATATGTTTCCATAAGAGGTTCGAGTATCCTTGTTTTATCGGGGACTCATTTGCAACTACAATAAAACTTTTAGTACCAACTTGCTCCTTTAAATTTGGGGGAACATAAACATTTTCTATTTATGAAAACTGTGCACATGTTAGGCTATTGATGAAAAAGGGATTCTAAATTGCGCATGATTTTTAATAAAATACGATTTTAATGAGGCGGATCAGCGACCTTTGACTAGTGTAGCTGGAGGAAGGCCTATAATTCCATTGCACTCGAGTTGTCCATTGCAATAGCCTGTTTCACATACAGGCTTAGCCAAAATTGCAGCCTGTCCTTGCCCAAATGCGTCCGCTCGTCTTCGGGGGCCTGGAATTTTCATATTTTTCCCGGTGGTAGATAGAATTCTCCTTTGCCAATCACTGGATGGCCTTGGTTTGGGGCAGTGGCAGCCCATATAGGAAATGGACATTTGTTACTCAATAGAATGTGCAACATTGTACTACTTAGTTACCTGCGTATAATTTGCTAAAACGAGACCATTCTTAATAAATTTGGGATCGACAAAAACTAACAAAATGTAAGTTACCAGATGAGCCCAAGTTCCATATCAGGAAGAGAAAGAAAGCTACAAATTTTCCCATCAAATGCAATGTGAATTCGACTATGATGCTAAGTTTGATTGCAAAAAAAATTCCTATAGATATATTTAATTCCTAAGAAGCTGCTTTGATTCTACTTCGAGTTAACGTCAGTCTTTAAGATGAAGAAATACACTACTGAAAAAGTCGAGAAGCATAGAGTTGGTATGATTTGGCCTTCTGTAATTGATTAGCACACTTGACGACTGCACATCTTATTTATTCAACCAAACAAAAAGAGCGGCACAACTCGAGGCAAATTCTTGTATTTTTGTTAAGTCTCGACTCGAAGAATCAAATATTTACTCAATCTGTAAAATGACAGAACAAACACTCGATGTTAAAGGCATTGTTCTTTCGGAAAATATACCATATTAGACAATTCATCTTACAATAACAAGATCCTCATAAATAACTATACATTTATGGGTTTTTTGATTGATACGGTGGACTGTAACTTGTCGAGTTATCCTTTGAAAACCCACAGGTGAACGAGATCGTGGTCAAGCAATATAATGATGAATAGAGTGTCGAATTCACGAGGACTATGCGTTTGACCGAGTTAAAATTAATTACAACTTTAATCGAATAGCGAACACATTTAGTGATTTTTTTTCTATATTAATACATAAATTATCAATTAAACTAATGAAAGTAAGTAAATGTGTTTTTCATATATATGAGATGCATTGTTAAAATGTCGAATCCCCCTTGTTATTTCATTTTTAGTGTAACAATTAAAGTGACAATTTGAAATCATTCATGTTGGTTAATGTTTCAAATTTAATCGAAAGTCTCTCTCGATAGCGATCAAATTTATTCACCACATGTGACATTTTTATCTCTCGATGAAATATGCAAATATGATAAATGCATTAACAAGTATTAGAGTACTTATTGAAACCATATAAAGTATAGAGACATATCTATATCCTCTATCGAACCTTACAATATTTATTATCCTATTGTCTCTCTCGATAACAATAAAATTCAATAACAATTCAATTAGTGGTCAAACAACTGAAAAGAACGATAAAAAATATGATAAACATCCACAGATCAAATCAAATTAAAATCAAAATAATTACTTAAAATCCAAAAATATCATAATAAGAGTTCATCTCATCCTAACAATGTATAAAACTAGCATAATATATTGAAATTACAAGAAATCATATTTAAATGAAAAGATATAACCCAGATTTTTGATTAATTAAGAAGATGAAGATGAATATTGAATCTTTTCAATGGTTTCTTAATGAATCATCACTTGCCTCTTCCCTTCTTTGCCCAAAAATCAAGTTTGAATCTTTATTTGATTGAATTCTTGCAAATCTCCTTTAATTTGCTCACAAAAATTATGAATTTTCTTCTTTTGATGATAATAATTGATGAGTATTGGAGTATAATATACATATGAGAGGTATCTAATACATATTTTGCTGTTAAGTATTTGTAAGAGTAGAAAATTAGTTGAAAATTATGTCCAAATTGGTTTTCAAAATAGTTCAAATCGAATAAGGAAAGTTTCATTTGCTCGTGGATTTTTTTGTCTCTGCACAACAGTCAATATTTTGGTCATGACTTTCTCTCCCGATAATCCAATTGAAGTAATTCAAAGTGCATTGGAAATATAACTCAAAAAGTTACAACTTTTCTAGGAGTAAAATTTTTGCAATTCGAACGTTTACTGTGCGAAAAATAGGTCTCAATATTCGGCTAAAAATCTGGAATATAACTTGCGTGATTGGAAATTGATTTTGATAATATTTTGATCATATTCCATTCCTTTTTGAGTTCTAATTACATCCAATTATCTCCTATAAATTTTCAAAGTATTGTCTTGTGGTCCGAATCAACTATTGAATAATTACAATTTAGTCTTCAAACTTTGAATTTTGCAATTTTCACCAATTTTCACTTCTTTATTTTGATTCCTCGTTCAACCATTGAGTTTTACCTATATAACATAAAATAAAACAATTTTGGATACACTTTGTCCCAAAAACTATCAAATATTACTATTTTAGACACCGAATACGTGTATAAAATACACTTATCATCGAGTTCAATCCACTACTGCATAGCAAACACGTATTTAATGTGACGACGACTTGATACTGGCCTAATTGTTTACGTAATCTAAAGGTTTCTACTAGTTTCATTTTTTTTTTCCAGCTCTAGATCAGACATTGATCTGATTAGGTATAAACAGGATATTATAATAGGATTTAAACATAGATTGACTTAACAATTTGCNAAATTTACTAACAATTCAATTGGTGGTGAAACAACTGAAAAGAACGATAAAAAATATGATAAACATCCATATATCAAATCAAATTAAAGTCAAAATAATTACTTAAAATCTAAAAATATCATAATAAGGGTTCATCTCAGCCTAATAATGTATAAAGCTAGCATAACATATTGAAATTACGAGAAATCATATTTAAATGAAAAGATATAACCCAGATTTTTGATTAATTAAGAAGATGAAGATGAATATTGAAATATTGAATCTTTTCAATGGTTTCTTAATGAATCCTCCCTTGCGTCTTCCCTTCTTTTGCCCATAAATCAAGTTTGAATTTTTATTTGATTGAATTCTGACAAATCTCTTTTAATTTGCTCACAAAAATTATGAATTTTCCTCTTTTGATAATAATAATTGATGAGTATTGGAGTATAATATACATATGAGAGATATCTAATATATATTTTGCTGTTAAGTATTTGTAAGAGTAGAAAATTGGTTGAAAATCATGTCCAAATTGATTTTCAAAAGAGTTCCAATTGAATAAGGTAAGTTTCATTTGCGCGTGGATTTTTTTTGTCTCTGCACAACAGTCAGTATTTTGGTCATAACTTTCTCTCCCGATAATCCAATTGAAGCAATTCAAAGTGCATTAGAAATATAACTCAAAGGGCTACAACTTTTGTAGGAGTAGAATTTTTTCAATTCGAACGTTTACTGTGCAAAAAATAGGTCTCAATATTCAGCTAAAAAATCTGGAATATAACTTGCGCGATTGGAAATTGATTTTGATAATATTTTGATCATATTCCACTCCTTTTCGAGTTCTAATTACATCCAATTATCTCCTAGAAATTTTCAAAGTATCGTCTTGTGGTCCGAATCAACTATTGAATAATTACAATTTGGTCCTCTAACTTTGAATTTTGCAACTTTCACTTCTTTATATTGATTCATCGTTCAACCATTGAGTTTTACATATATAACATAAAATAAAACAATTTAGGATACATTTTGTCCCAAAAACTATCAAATATTACTATTTTAAACACCGAATACGTGTATAAAATACACTTATCATCGAGTTCAATCCACTATTGCATAGCAAACACGTATTTAATGTGACGACGACTTGATACTGGCCTGATTGTTTACGTAATCTAAAGGTTTCTACAAGTTTCATTTTTTTTTTCCAGCTCTAGATCAGACATTGATCTGATTAGGTATAAACAGGATATTATAATAGGATTTGAACATAGATTGACTTAACAATTTGC